TTCCTTCCTTCCTTCCTTCCTTCCTTCCTTCCTTCCTTCCTTCCTTCCTTCCTTCCTTCCTTCCTGTTTTAACCACTTTTACGTAAAAGGTCCATGCAATAACTATATTCACTTTTCTGTACAACCACCATCGGTCTCCCGAACTTTTTCTTTTTCCCAAACTGAAATTCTGTACTCATATAGTACCTTCATTTCCCCCTCCCCTCAGCCCCCCAGTCTACTTTCTGCATTTACCAATTTGATCACTCAAGGTACCTCGTTATGGGTGGAACTCTATGGTATTTGTCCTTTTGTAACTGGGTGATTTCACAGCGTAATGTCTCCAAGATTCATTCATGTTGTTGTAGTATCAGCACTTCCGTTCTGTATCAGTATTTCATCCCTTTTAAAGACCGATGAGATATTCCATCGTATGTATATACCACAGTGTGTTTACCTATTCATCTGCTGGTAGACACTTGGATGGCTTCCACCTTTTAGCTTTTGTGACGAATGCTCTATGAGCATGCGTGTACAAATACCTGTTTGAGTCCCCTGCTTTCGATTCTTGTGTGTTTATAGTCAGAAGGAGAGTTGCTAGATCATATGACAATTTGTTTGTACTTACAAATATTTTTTTTAATTTTATGGATTTATTTTGAGAGAGAGAGCAGGGAGAGAGAGAATCCGCACTGTCAGCACAGAGCCCAATGCGGGGCTCAAACTCATGAACCATGAGGCCGTGACCTGAGCCGAAACCAAGAGTCAGACGCTTGAGCGACTGCGCCACCCAGGTGCCCCTATTTGTATTTTTTTGAAGAACCACATCCCATTTTCCCTCTTGTGGCACCATTTTACAAATGTAAAATGTACCAGCAGTGCACAAGGGTTCCAATTTCTCCATCTTACCAACACTTGTCATTTTCTGTTTTGTTTTGTTTTTTGATAACAGCCACCGTAATGGCTGTGAAATGGTATCTTATGGTTGTGATTTGCATTTCCCTAACGATTGGTGATGTTGAACATCTTTTCATGCGTTTAGTAGCCATTGTGTATTTTCTCCCATTGTCTGCTAACTTTTCACTCTGTGGGGAGTGTTTTTGAGGCATAAATGTTCTATATTTGACTGAGTCCTACTTACCTGGGTTTTCTTTTATTGCCTGTACTTTTATTGTCACATCCCTGGTATAGCTTATTCTACAGAAGGAAAACAGGGCATGTGCTAGACTTTATCATGTCCGTGAACATGGGCAATAGAGGAGACAAACCCAGCAAAACCTATTTGAAGGAAAAACTGGACCTGAGAGAGTAGCTGTAGATCTGAACCTCTTCATGGAAGGCTTGAGGTTAGAGGGTCTAAAGAAGATTTTACAGAGAGCTTTTTGTTTTTCTTCTTTATTCAAAATCAGGTGACACATGTGTCGAGGAAAAGATACATGACAACAGGCTTAACATTTATTTTTTTTAGTGGAGATTTTAGTTGTGTATACATGTGGGGGGTGCTGAGTATTGGTGGAACTTTTTTGTTTTTAGTTTATCTATTTATTTTGAGAGAGAGAGCGAGAGAGAGAGAGAGCAGGGGTTGGGGGAGGGGCAGAAAGAGAATCCCAAGCAGGTTCCACACTGTCAGCACAGAGCCTGACTTGGGCTCAATCTCAGGAACCGTGAGATCATGACCTGAGCCGAGATCAAGAGTTGGACGCTGAATGGACTGAGCCACCCAGGCGCCCCTGGTGGAACTTTTCAAAGTAGACTTGGGACAGCTGATGGAAGAAGTACTCGGGACACCATACTTCATTTGGGAATATCCAGGAGTGACGTTAGTTGGACACTGTAAACATTTCCGTTAATGGTAGAACACGAAAACATTAGAAGAATTCAGACCATCCAAATACTGGTAGCTACTACGTGTCCAGACTAGTAGGACCTCCAAATACATTAATGTTTATTACGGTACATTGCATTTATAAGAAAGATCTAATATTTGCTATGCCTTTTAAAATAGCCACATGGATTACTGACTATGAACTCATATTGAGAATGCACTTAGATTGAAGTAAGGGAGATTTCTGAAGATAAGAGGAAAAACTGACTTGGCACGAATGTTAATTTATGTTAAGTGGCTTGTGGCAGAGCTGGGCACTCCAGATCACCCTCCCCTACTCATGGACAGCAGCTGTCCCTGGGAGCAGCTGATCTACTTTCCTCTGTTTACCTGGTGTGTTCATTGCCGAGCTCTCATCCACGGAAAGGCAGCGGAAGTGATGTAAGTCACTCTGGGAGTGTGGGCGTGTCTACTTCTTGCTCTTCTCTCCCTTATGTCGGCTAGAGGTGTGGGGGCTGATGAAGTCTGGCAGGATAGCAGCGTCCTAAGATGGGAGTAGCTTGAGTCCCTGAATCGCTGTGTGGAGGAAAGCTTCCCACCAGCTAGGAGTATCCGTCGAGGACTATTACTGAGCAAGAAATCAGTTTCAGCCTGTGTCAGAACGCTGAAGTTTTGGTGTCTATTTATTACGGCAGCTAATACAGGCTTTCAAAGGGAATGAAGATGCTTTTGCAATTTGATCTTAGAGTGGATTGTGACTTCTGAATTTGCACCGCAGGATGTTAATGCCCTGAATTCTTAGCCCGGACTGCAAAGCACTGCTAGATTTGGCCTTGCCAACCTATTCGGCATATTTAGATGCCACGCTCACTTTTCTGAATAGCAGCCACATCGGCCCTTCTTCAGCTTCTTTGCTATGGGAAGCTCTCTCCTGCTTCAGGATATTTGAACATGATGTTTTCTCTGCCTGCAATTCTGTTTTCCTTGTCTGGCTAGTTCTGATTCATGCTGCAGAACTCAGTTCAGAGGCTACTTCCTGGTGACCCTCAAAGTTCAGGTCCCCTGACGTATGTTGTTATTGCCTACTGTATTTTTCCTTCATAGCCCTCATCATACATTGTGATTCTGGCTTTGTGTAATGATTTGGTCAAATATATTCCCTCCCTCTACATTGTAAGACTCATAAAGGCAGTGTCCAGACTTGCTTTGCTCACCGTTGTATGCTCAGCTTGGCATAGAGTGGACTCCTTTTAAAAATTTTTTTAAGTTTTTTTTTTTTTTTTTTTTTTGAGAAAGAGAGAGAGAGAGAGAGAGAGAGAGCGAGCACTCGAGTGAGCCGGGGAGGGGCAGAGGGAGAGGAAGAGAGAGAATCCCAAGCAGGGTCCACAGCCAGTGGGGAGCCTGGTGGGGCTCAATCCCACGGCTGTGAGATCATGACTAACCTGTGCCAAAATCAAGAGTTTGAGGCTCAACCAACTGAGCCACTCAGCCACCCCCAGAGCAGACCCACAATAAATATTTTGTCAAATGAAATCATACATGTCCCTAACAATGCCTACCACTTATGGAAAGTCTGTGTGCCCGGCACTGTTAATAAAGGCTGTACCTATCTTAATTAACTCAACCCATCACTCCACAAAATTCTATTTTAATCCTAAGCACACAACACTTTATTCACATGTTATTCATAAGGCCAAGGGTTTTTCTTTTATTATGAATCTATTGATTAAATCTCCCTTAGTCTTTTTGCATAAACCATGCCTATTGCTTTATTTATGACATCTGAAATGTTCAGGATGTAACTACACCTGCAAAACATATTGAGTACAGAACACTTCTAGATTTTTACAAATTCGCCACACCATTTTTTTCTAATTATATCACCAATATCTAAATATCTATCTATCTATCTATCTATCTATCTATCTATCTTTTTACCAACTAATTTGACAGTATTTTAAAAAGTTACCTTTTACTTTTTGCCTTCATATTTTAATTGTCTTGTGATAAAAATTTTAATTGTCTTGTAATAAAGATTTTAATTGTCTTGCAACTAACTAAAATCAGCATAAATATATTTAAAAGCAAACACAGGTGTATCTAGTAGGCGTAAGTTGGTTGGAGGGGCATCATCTTGTGTAGCCTGTAAAGTGTGTGCTTTCAGCATGATTGAGCAGCAGTCAGCATGTTTTACGGAGAAAGAAGAGTCTTCATGAATCTGGAGAGTTGGGTAAATGGAGGCTGGCTAAGGGAGCTTCAGTGTAGTATTACTACCCATGTTATAAAAGAGAAAATGGGGTCTCAGAGAGGCAAAGCAACTTTTGTAAGTTTACAAGTTAGTGAGTGGTGGAGAATTTCGGATGAAAATTCAGGCCCGTGTGATTCCAAAGCCAATGCTCTGAATGCGTGAATCTCTTTCACTGCTGGGTAGTAAATCCTTCTGGTGGAAACCATGGCTGGTTTGTCACACAGTTGTGGGTAAATACAACAGCCACTTGATAGTTAATAAATTATTTAGGATTTTCTTGTGCAAGCAGGGGCCATTCTCTAACCTTTCTATAGCTGTAAGTTGTCATGTGGTGCAAGGATGGGTATTATACCCTTCTACTTGACTCTGATCTCGTGAAGGGTGTGTGTGTGTATATTAATTTATAGCAATGCCTAAAGAACACTGAGTAATCAACAAATGTTTATTCACTGGACCAAAAAATTAATTCAAATGGAGATAAAAATCAATCAGACTTTGGAGCAGGATTTCTCTACTCTCAATCTTCTGGCCTTCCTGGTGCTATTGGTCACCCATCAGTCTCTGCTGATCTTTACTCTTCTAAAAATTCATTCAGGAAGATTCTCATCATTACTTTTCATTTTTTTCAAAGAGATGTAGCATGCTCCAAAATGATACTCTTTGAGATGCAGTAAATAAAAGAGAAATCTGTTGTACGATGTACAAGACAAACAAGATGTGTCTTCTTTTAAAATGAGCCATAGAATTCTGGCTCAACGTGGGTGGCTGACCAAATTTATGTTTTCTCCTTTTAAAAACCCTATCAAAATGATCATAAAAGTCTTAAAGATATTAATCACAAAATCAAAAAGGGCAGGAGTTGATCGGTAGCAAAGGAAGGAGAGATTTTAGCAAATTTTGGGATGGCAGCAAGTGGGTGAAAGATTGCAGGGAAGAGTAAACTGCATTCTAGCATATGTAGGACTCTGTGGGAGTTTGGGATTCAGTTATGGCAATTTTGACGGACAGCAAGAATGATTCACTGGGCTGACACCAAGAGGGTTCCTTGAAAATCTGTCTAGAAAGATTCCACCTCCTCTCAAATGTGCATTCAAAACATGTGATGGTCAGTAATTTACCTCCAAACAACCCTAAACATGTTACGATAAACAAATTGAACAAATTCAGAGCCAGAGCAGCAAGAATGAGCATTTCTTCCCCAAAGCAGTTCTGGCATTGGAGGCCCTTTACACTAACCAGCTCTGTATCCACTCCCCCTTTCTCTTAAGAAGTGAAACATAAAGACTAAGAGATGAAAGATATGAATGAAAAGGAGAGACCTAGAAGATCAACCCAAAGTATCTGAGATTTTGACCAATAAGAATTTCAGAAGAGAGAACAGAAAAAATGGAAGACAGGAAATAATTCAAGAAATAAAAAAGGAATTCTCAGAGCTGAATAACACTAGTTGCCCGGAACACTGAATAGGAAAAAGACTCATCTCAACTTAGTCCTATAGAGTTTCAGAAAATCTATAAAAGAAAACATCAAAAAATTTACAGAGAGGGATAGAGAAAAACAAACCAGAGGAGTTACCGAAGAACAGAAATCAGGTGACCATTTGACCCTCCCCTCAGCAGCTCAGGATGGCCAGCAAATAATGGTATATGCTTTCGAAATTATGAGGCAAATTATTTCAGTCTCACGTTTTATACTCAGCAAGGCTATCAATCAAGACGGAGGATAGAATGCATTTTCATACATCTAAGGACTTAGAAAGTCTGTCTGTTACATACAGTTTTTTTTACGTATGTAACAGTTGCTTAGAGGGTATGGTCTAGCCAAGCTGGGATAAAACAGGAAGAAGAAAAGGACAGGAAGGAATAACAAAGTGAAGTTCTGGTGTTACAGTAAGGAGCAGATCTGGAGAGCATTAAGTTTAGACCGAGGGGCAAAAGTTCCATCTGGAACGATGGAATTCTTCCAAAAATTTGCGAAATCCTTGAGCTATTGGAAAAGTAAGGATTTGATAAAGGCAAGTAATGCAAAGAAGAAACAGAAGCAGAAGAGCACGGAGAAGCAGGAGGACGAGGAGGAGGAAGGAGAGGAGGGGGAGGAGGGGGCGGAGGAGGAGGGGGGGGGAGGCGGGGGAGGAGGAGGAGGAGATAGCCAAAAACTCAAGGAAAACAGAAAATTTAAATGCACTAATAATATACTACTTGGCTGCACAGTCAATGACACTACAAAGTCATAATACCACACATACTGTCTACTGATTTTCAGCTTTTAGAATCAACCAATATGTAAGGAAGACTTAATTACGTTATTTTTAAAAAGTAAGCACTATCAAAATCAACAAGGAAAAGTTAAGGTCCTGAGCAGCTGAAGTTGCTAGGTAGGGGGGGAGAAAAGGAGAAAGAACAGGGCCATTAAGAATCCATTTTTACCAAGTGAGAACTCAAGAAATGCTTGTATATTCATATATTTAAGTTAAAAAGACAACCAACAGAAGGACTTACGATCATAATTTTACCTGACAGGATGGGAGAAGAAAGGTGGGAAGGAGATCAGGCAGCTATCTTGGTAGGAGGTCCACAGATGTCTACACTTGATGGATCAAACAATTGTGATCTACGCGCGTGCCTGTTATTTAGAGAACCACGCAACAGCTAGAAAAAGTAAACACAGAAAAGTTGACAGAGTTAATATAGCACACTGGTAAATGGAACTGAGACCATTAAGACTTAGGAAAGAGATTGGTGCTTTTTGTTAAAAATGTTCCTGTCTTGGGGCGCCTGGGTGGCTCAGTCGGTTAAGTGTCACTTCAGCTCAGGTCACGATCTCACTGTCTGTGAGTTCGAGCCCCACGTCGGGCTCTGTGCTGACAGCTCAGAGCCTGGAGCCTGTTTCAGATTCTGTGTCTCCCTCTCTCTCTGACCCTCCCCCATTCATGCTCTGTCTCTCTCTGTCTCAAAAATAAATAAACGTTAAAAAAATAAAAAAAAAAGTTCCTATCTTATTTAAATTTAAACGCTTGTTACCTTAAGAAAAATAAAAAAATATATTTCTGTTAAAAAAAGAATGCTGTAGACCACATTAAACATAGCCTGATGAAATGGAAGTTTGCTAATTCTTTCATTTTTTTTCAGGCAAGAATGTAACTAGTTAAGTTATAAAAATCATTTATCATTTCTAACACGAAGAAAAACATTAACGGGATGTGGCCGAGACAAGAGCCTCCAAAGGCTTTAGTCAGTCCCTTACTTTTGACAAGCCAGGAGAACGTCCTCACGACCAGCCGTGGGGCAGTTTTTTTGACGGCAAGATGTTTTCACAGGCTTCTCTGTTATTTCTTCTAGGAGACTGCAGAGTAGGAAGACTATAGACAATTGCTCAGTTGCTTTCCAGGGGCATTTCCAGTCAGCGTCCAAGGACACTGCTGTATGCATACCTTTCCGGATGAGAGAATCGTGGCACAAGAATCGCTCCTTCCTTGGTATTTGTCCACACACTGAGTATGTTAGGTAGGGCATCCTATGCTTTCGCTCAAGTGTCAATGCTCCAGAAGGGCTGTCATGGGCCACACTATGTAAAACAGTGTTCCCTGACTCTGTCATTTTCTGTTCCCTTCCTGACTTTATTTTTCCCTAGCCTTCTCCTTAGCTGGCATTATGCTATGTATGTTTTTGTTTATTGTCTTTCTTTTTCATAGGAAGGTATGCACCGCTGGGGCGAAAACATTATTTTGCTCACTTTTTTATATTTTGACCCCAAAGCAGGGCGGGCACATAGTAGGTGCTCAGTAAAAAATTGTTAAATAAAGAATAGATTTGAGAATAATCACTTGGACAGGAAAGTCAGGGAAGTTTTTACAGAAGTATCCGAGCTAGGTCTTGAAGGCTGAGTAGAAGTTTATCAAATAGTGAAGGCTGGAAACAAGAATCCAGAGGACAGTGGAAAATGCCACTTCCTTTGTGAAGATCCCGGGTCAATTTAGATCATGGGATTTTTTTCTTTTTAAAGAGAAAGTTAAAGAAAGTCTCTTCTTTGAGAGAGACACAGAGAGAGCACAAGTGGAGGCGGGGCAGAGAAAGAGAGAGAGAGAATCCCCAGCGGGCTCCACAGTGTCAGCACAGAGCCCAGCATGAGGCTCAAACTCACGAATGGTGAGATCATTACCTGAGATAAAAGCCAGAGTTGGACACTTAACTGACTCAACTACCCAGGCGCCCCTAGATTGTGGGATTCTTTTAAGTGATGACTATCACTAAAGTGAAGAAAATGGTCACTGCAAAGTTGAGATATCTTGAAAATATTTGCTGAAAGTAATTAGAGACTTACGTTGAACAAGTCACTTGGTAAGCTTCATCCTAAAAAACAATTCTTCCAGGTATCCCTACTAGTTCAAACAGAACCTGCTACATGGCAAGTGGTCAGAAGTGAAGTAACTAGCTCGAGGCCACCTGGCTAATATGTGGATTTGAACTCAGTTTTCTCTGGTTCAAGAGGCTAAGCCGGTGTTGTCCAATAAAAACATAACATGAACCACACACGAAATTAATAAGTTTTTAGTGGCCATATTAAAAAACAAGAAGAAATAAGTGGAATTAATTTGAATGATATATTTTATTTAAGTTTTTTTTTCAATTTTAATGTTTATTTATTTTTGAGAGAGAGAGACAGAGCATGGGCAGAGGGAGGGGCAGAGAGAGGGAGACACAGAATCCGAAGCAGGCTCCAGGCTCCAAGCTGTCAGCACTGAGCCCGATGTGGGGCTCGAACCCACAAGATCATGACCTGAGCCGAAGTCAGACCCTTAACTGACTGAGCCACCCAGGTGCCCCGCCAGATCTATTTTATTTAGCCAATATATCCCAAACAGTGTCATTTCAAAATGTCATCCACATAAAGCAGTTGCTGATGAGATGATCTACATTCTTTCTTTCATATTGTTTTTTAAGACCTGCTATATGTTTTGCATTAAAATTACACCTTAATTTGCTCAGTAGCCACATTTCAAGCCTTAACATAAATCTCTGGATCTGGGTGTGATACTGGTTGGTAACCGGGTTGTGCAGAAAGACTTTTGTGCAAAAGACAAATTTTCACCCTTTTTCTAGGAAACTCCAGATTCAGCATCTTGCTGTCAGTGTCCTCAGTTTTATTTACGGAAACCATGTTAAGTCTATTTCCGTGCAGCATTTCTAGGACATCCCTATTTAACTTCATTTGTTCTCTAGCTGTTGTTCACAAGAGACAGGATTGGGTTGATTACAAGAAGCATGCAACACTGTCTTATAATTGCCACTAAATATGTGGAGTGTCTGTCTCCAAACTAGCTCCTAAGGCATCTGAGGGCAGGGGCTCATCGCTGGACCTCCAGGGCCTAACCCATAATAGCTGTGCAGTCAAGTCTGCTAGATGTTACATGTATATTTCCCATAACAAACCTTGGCCAACTATTTATTTCTTTTGGCTAATGACTTAGGAATCACGCTAACTACAAGAGATCCCAAAGATTTCACCTGTAAAATTATTTAGTCAACTCTAACATGCATTTCAGGACTCACTAGGACCACAAGAGCAATCTGTATAAAAGTGAATTTGCTATTTCTCTCGAGTTACCAGTATTGCAAAATGGAAAGTTTTTAGAACATTCTTGAAACGTTTTTAAAGCCAGACCCAAGAGCCCATTAGCAGGAATATAGTTTAGTTTACAAAATGATTCACAAAGTTCATGATCCCTTCTTACTTTCTGTTACCTCATTTGGAAGACTGTCTTTTGCACAATCACCAAGAGGAGGGGCTTCATGGAAACAACGGAACTTGGCTGTCAGGACCTTGCTTGCTATAGGTATTTTTTGTTGTATATTCCCACCAACAAATAACGATAGCTCAGGTTGAGATATGCTGCTGACAGGAACAAAAAAGATTTCCTAATAGTGAGCTCTTACTGTTTTGTTTTTTTTCCTTGTTGTTGCTTAAATACCTGCTGGAAGGTAGAAATTTAATCTTGCGACTTCTATTTGGTATTTTAACCACGTTCCCTATGCATTCCCATATGTCAGTCGTTCTCTCTGTGAAACTTGTAGAGTTTCTACGCAAGCATAGATTCAACCTTTTTGTTTTTCCTTCTGGTATCTATCAGCAAAATGAGGTTTGGGGTTTGATGGGGTCATGTCAGAATCAAATTCCCTTAATTCTCATTCTAGCACCATGTTCTATCTAGCTGAAAGGCCTTCTACTTTCTCGACATTTACTTCTTCAACTTGGGATGTATCAGAGAAGGACGGATTAGAGTCTTGGGTTTTAAACATCAGTCTGAACTCTGGCAGTGATAGCTGATGTTGGCTTCTCCCTCAGTCGTGGATTCTGAACTACAGTATATGAATGGAAGTTATAATTCTTGAAGGTCTTGATCTAAAATGACTGCAGAATCTCAGGTGTTGATTACATGCCCAGATCATCGCTTCATCTTGTAAAACACACATTTATAGCAACATTAAACTATTAGTTTGATGTCTACAGTTGTATGACTCACCCCTTCTAAGGAACCATTTTCTATTTCGTCACTGTGTTTCCAGTATTTTTTGTGTTATTTGGTGGCTTTGGTCTTGATATTTTGGGAAATATTTTCCCTCTCTGGGGGTCTGGTAAAGGGCCTGAATTTCTTCCCTTAATGCCACTACTGGCAAAGTAGGGTGATATCTACGATGCTTGGACATTCAGGGGCGGAACTAAATTATGTGATTTTTCTTCTTCTAAGCCACAAGCCATAAATGATTTTGAAATCACTTATTATGGAAACACAGATTCATAATTTTAAATATCTGGCTTTCATAGTCATATAATATATAATAGTGAGGTAATGGTAGGGCTGCATAGGATGAATAGAAATCTGGCTCCAGAATTGATACCAGAGTGAAAGAGTTTGCAGATACGAAACAGTTACATGGCCAGTTCCTATCTTTTCTATATTACATCCTCCCAGGGCATTGTACTTAAGACTTTTAAAATAAATAGGCATTTCTCTTCCTCTGCACTGGTAAAGGTGAACAGATGGTGAAATGGGCCAAATAATGGAAAGTCGACATAATTTGTCCCCAGACAGTTTAGCAAGTTCATAGATGAAACGTTAAACCCCACATAGGCCCTCATCACATCTCTGACTTTGGACCACTGATTAGATGAAATTGAGGAGAGAAAGGGTGTTTAATTGTAGACTGTCATGGCCCTGAGCTCTTCACTATAAGGAACATTCCTGTCTGCTGAAGCTGTTGTAAATAAATAAACAGACCCTTGTGCATGGAACCAGTCTGTTCTTTTGTTTTCTTAAACTCAGAGTCAAACCACAATATCTGACTAGCACCTTCTAATGAGATTTGTTATTATTTTTTTAATGCAAAAATTTTACACTTGAACTATTAATGTGCTCCTTTAAGAAAAATACAGACTTTTTTTTTTTTTTTATTGGGTTTGGAAGGGGCCTACATGTTTTTCAAAGTTTGGACAGAAGGAAATGTTTACTTTTCAGTTGAACATACCTAAATTGAAAAGGACTCAATAAAATTCCCATCCTGAGGCTATGGAAATAAATATTAACATTTTATTATAAGCAGATCCCATGTTTTAGTTCAATGAACAAAGAGTGACCTTACTTGGCAACTGGCTGTCCTTCGCAAGTATCTCCAGAAAGAAGGACTTCAGAAACAAAAATCTCTTCATTTTTACTAGACTCTATCAACCTACAACTGGCTGATGGTTAATAGCCCTAGAAAACTGGTAAATCCCGTCAATTATGTTAGGGTCAATTCAGTCAATTGTCTTGGAGGGTTCACTGGGCAGTCACCCTGCCTGAAGTTGGACGCTCAATAGATACTCCAATGAGGGTTATGTTTGTTTGTTTTTGCTGAGATTTTCATAAATGGTTTTCCATACAAAAATGATTGTTTTCACAGTCTAGCTCTGAGACTTGACTGCTCATTTCTCTGCACATTGGAGAACGTCTTGCCTGCGTCGTCCTGTACTCTCTGCTTACCTCCTGCACTGGTGGAGACCTTCTACGCCACACACACCTTCTTTGGGGGTCTCAGCTTTTATAAAAACCTGTCAACCTTACCCTCCCTTCAGCTGAATGTAGAAGTCAATGTGTTGGCTTTCTGGGGCCTGTTTTCTCGATACTCTTTTATTTCTGCACCAGACCTAGACCACGTTGTTTTTGTTTTTGTTTCCCTACATTAAAATTACTTTTCTGAACTCAGTTTGTATAACATGCCCTAGTTACACCTTGAAGAAATGCTACAACTGATCTCATGCATATTATATTATTGGGTTTACTATAAGAATATTGATGAAGGTAACAGGGTATTATTACATGAAAGAGAAACTTCTTTATAAAGATCTATCCAGGGGCGCCTGGGTGGCGCAGTCGGTTAAGCGTCCGACTTCAGCCAGGTCACGATCTCGCGGTCCGTGAGTTCGAGCCCCGCGTCAGGCTCTGGGCTGATGGCTCGGAGCCTGGAGCCTGTTTCCGATTCTGTGTCTCCATCTCTCTCTGCCCCTCCCCCGTTCATGCTCTGTCTCTCTCTGTCCCAAAAATAAATAAACGTTGAAAAAAAAAAAAAAAAGATGTATCCATAGGAGACATTTATCTCAGATTTCAGATACTGAGAATTAAAAAGATTTTGCTTATGGTTCCCTTTTTGTAGTGGCTGCTAAAAAGCTCAGAGTCAAATTTTTGGACCACCTCAAGCAAGCACACATGATTTTAGGGCATGTGTTTTATGCACTAATTTCACTGATAGCTTTATTGTTATCTTTCTACCATTATTTTTCTACAAATTCAGTTTCTACTCATTATCTTATTTCATTGTACATATTTTTGGACTTTAAATCCTTTAGGACTAGATTTGGTAAAAATAAAGAAATAACTCAGAACTAACTACATTTTTTTGGAGGGGGAGTTTAGAATTTTTTTAACGTTTATTTATTTTTGAAAGAGAGAGAGAGAGAGAGAAAGAGAGACAGAGCACGTGCAAGGGAGGGGCAGAGAGAGAGGGAGACACAGAATCTGAAGCAGGCTCCAGGCTCTGAGCTGTCAGTACAGAGCCCCTGCAGGGCTCAAACCCACGAACTGGGAGATCAGGACGTGAGCTGAAGTCGGAGGCTTAAGGGATGAAGCCACCAGCTGCCCCTTTTTAGGGGGTTAGAGCTAATGGAAATGTGCACAGGGTGCAATCTCAGTGGCAGGAGGTGACTCCGCCATTCATGGCAGTGGTTGGGCCTTAAACAGCTTGGCAGGGAGCAGAATGTGACCCTCACAAAAAGGGACAGGAGTAGGACAATAAAATCGCAGGTGCTGGGTGATAGCAGATAACGTAAGAACCAGCCTCCCTCCTCAATAGAAAACTTTCTAGAAATAACTGGAGGTGGAGCTTTCCAGTGGGAGGGGCTGAAATTGTAGGTGGGAAAAGGAGTCAGGGGTTTACACATAATTGCTGTTTGCACAGATTTATTTTAAGCCCCAAATTGGAGTGGCCTAAAGAGACAAAAGTTAGGTTGCAAATGAAGTAATTCATGATGAATTTTGAGGGAAACCCTGTCTTCATCAATCTGCTATGATTGATGACTGAAACGCCAGGATTTAAACTTATCCCTGAGAACGAAGGTTGTGTCTTTTCAGGAGTCTTTTGTTAACGATCAGGTGGGTCTGAGGTAACAGATTTGCTGTGGGAATCAGCCCATCAGATTGTTTCACGTCTGAGAGGGGCCATGAAAGAAAATGTGGTAGAGGACGGTGTGAATCTTCCCCCGTGTCGGACATGGGCCAAGGCAGGGGAGGTGGGAGGCGGTCCGGCACTGGAGGAGAGAAGACACGCCATGAGAACAGAACACAGAATTTTTAGTATCTGGCTTAAAAACCATTCTAGAACGGAGAAGGCTAGAGGTTGTATGCCAGGGAAGGTAGTCCTCAATTTTGACTTATTTCTGCTAACAGTGCTCAACCTCACTTTCACTGACGGTGATGCTCACTTAGCTCAACTCGTTACTGTCTTCCCCCGCTCCTTTATTTCCCCTACCTTTTTTTATAGGAGGTTCTGGGACCTCATGGCTATTTTTGCCCCTACTGACAACACTTTGGGATCCCACACAAACACTAACAGTAGCCAAAGCATAAAGATGTCTTTCCTGCCTCTGCACCAAGCACCACCTCTCCTTCCCGGTTGTGGTTCTTCTCAAGAAGAGTTGGACTCACATGCCTGAGAGTTTTCTTTACCTGCTCTGGTGGCGGGAACAGTATTTCCTAGGTTTGTCCCTATACCGGCCACCTCTATGGGAATCTAAGACCCAGACCTCCCCACCTGAAAGCTGAGGGAGGCGTCCTTAGTCACGCTGCTATGGGCTTGGTTCCCTGGGTACTTCCTTGGAGTCACCCTGTGCCCCTGCCTGGATGCCCTGAGTCCCTCCCCAGCTCACACACCTAGCTCTACACTTGTCGGGATGGGCCCACAAGAATGCCCCCAGAACCCCATGGAGACTTGGGAGTCACACTACCCTTGGTCTTTTCTGCTTTCAGCCCCTTGTCCCTGGGACTCAGATACTAGTCCATGAAGTCTGACAGACTACCCATATCAGAACAGGCACAGATTTTTCTCCAAATAAGAGCTTGAGCTCCACAATCAGTTCTCCCTGATAGAAGACTTGCGTTTTCCTTTGAAGCTTTAACTACAGGATATAGGCCCAGCTCTGGGGATGTATAGGAACCATGAATCAGAGCCACAGGCAACTCCATTTTCCCAAGGGCTAAGAGGGATGTACTTCCGGCCCTGCGCTGCAGGACTGATGTTGGCCAAATGCACTGACCACAGCATTCCCCAATATGTGGCCAGTCCTACCTCGAGCTTTCATCTTTTGTAAATCAATTTGCCAACTTCTTATCGTGTGTTATATAAGTGGCTAAGAGTCCTTAAAATCCTAGCAATCTGATGTGTGGGTCATACACATGTTCTATAAGTAGTATCAGAAGTCCAGCTATTCAGAAAGGAAATCTGTTTGTTTGTAACTATTTGTAAATGAGTCCCCGAGGTCCTGGAAAGGCACATATTAACTTTAGAGGACAATGGGCAGAGGCTGGGCACACCCATGAGATACTCTTAGCATCGAACAGCATGAAAGCTCTTGCTGAATTATTATCTCACTTTCTGCTTTCCGATGGTCTCAAATGGTTCTGTTTCTCTGAGAAAGTAATTAAGTTGTCATTAGTATTTAATGATTATGGTTTCATTTTTGCTCCTTTGACTCCTAAGCCTCTGGTGATGTGGTCTTGCCCAGTTACTGCTGACACAGAGTCTAGAGTGTTCAAAGTCTGAGGAGTTTCTCTTATGAATTTGAACATGGGTTGTCCGCATTGCTGGGAACTCAGGAAAGCCAGGCGTTCTCTATGAAGGGGCACCAGACTATTTCCTCGAATGACAACAGAGCTAAAGCAATGACTCTGTAGGAGTCTCACCTTTGGTGAGACTGGAAAGCAACTGATACTAGTCCATCAAGTGACAAGCTGCCTGAAAAGTGGAGGAACGCGGTGGTCATTCAGTATCCTTTCGGGCTTCCTGCAATCTTCTGACTCTAATAGTGGAAGAATTCTCATGAGTCATTATTATTTAAATGATGGAAACTGTTGCGTGTTATTTGAGGAAATAAAGCGTATCAGCGGGGTATTAGTCAGTAATACATTGTCTCTAAAATTCCATCTGTTAAATGCGCAGTTAACATTTCTTTTATAGTTGGCATTTGTCAGGAATTCTCTGCAGGTACCTGTAGTAAGTATGCATTTGATGTAGTACAAACCTATTAACTGTAACTTATTGTTACCTGGGATTTAGATGCATCAGTATTCACACGATGTCCCTTGAAAATAATACTGGGATTCAATTCCAAATCCTATCCTAGAGGATTCAATTAAAAAATAACTAAATTAATAAATTTATAAATAAAATTAAATAATTTTTATCAAATTACTAAATAATTTAAATAAAATTAATTAATTAAATAATAATAAATTAAAAGATAATTTATAATCCCACAGTTTATGGGGAACAGGGAGGGCTGATCCTGGGTTCCAGAAAGCCCTTTGTTTGCTCAACACTGTGAAGATTATGTTTGAAGGGAGAAGATGGAAATGGGGCAAGAATGATTTTCTCTACGTAATAAAGTGGGGGGGGGGTGGCGGAGGTTGAGGAAGGAAGCCAGGAGTGGCCTGGTGGGGAGGACAGAACCTTGGAGATTCACCTGTTCAATGAGGAGTTTTAGAGTGGTTTCTTTTGCAGTGTGGGGTTGATCTTTCTTTTCCATTTCTCCTGTGAAACCTTCAGAAAAGTCTTTAGTTGTAAAAACTAACGTTTTTAGTCCGAGCACAATGTTTCTGGGACTTGTGAAGATGCCGAGTTGAGAAATGAGGTTGGCACAAAGCGGAAGGGACGACGCACGGGTACCGCTGAGCCTTAGGCACGTCTCAGAACAGGTGATGGCACCTTGTTCTGTGATCTGTTGCTGCTGCTGCCGTCTGTTGGGGGGGCTCCCAGGAGGGCAGGAGGCCAGAGGTGCCGCCTAGGCTGTCCCACCATTGCTCGGGACCCGGCTGGTGGTTTCGGCCAGCCGAGCCTCAGACTTCTCCCCTTGCAATTTCAGCCGCTCCGCATCCTTCAGCCTTTCTGTGCATGAAGGCGCTTCTCCAGCAATCTTCCGAATTGCTTTTGCATATGGGCTAGTCAGACATTCAAGCTCTACTTCTAACTTCAAACAGGTCACACTGTGGATGCACATATGAATGTCCCGACGAAGCAACAGTCTAGGAAGTTTCGTTACAGCTCTGATTTTGACTCCCTGATGATTGTACTTCGAACGGGAAGTGATTTCTGGCTCTGCCTTAGCTGCCTTGGAACGTCATTCATGAGCTGCCCTGAACACACCGCAAAGCTGCAGTTGTTTTCTTGTTTGTTTCGTCAAAGCTGCACCTGTTTTCTGTACTGAAAATAGTGCCCCATGGATCTAAAGCCAAACCCAAGCCCGAGGCAGGAAATAAACAAACCAACAAGACAACCACAAAAGACACTGTTACTCTGGTGGTGAGTTTGTGTTGTCAATTTTTTCCAGTTATCAGATCTTGCAAGTTGTATTTTCTTTTCTAGTTCAACATGTACGTTTCACTTAATTATGGTGGGTAATTACCGTCTATTTTGCCTGTGGGCAAGTTCTTGAGCGGACATTGTATCTTCACTTCTCTTGAGTATAAACCAGGAGTGGAATGGCCAGGTCACGTGACAACCCCATGTTTCACATTTCAAGGAGCTGATTGTTTTCCAGAGGGTCTCCATCTTTTACATTTTCACCAGCGACATAGGAGGGTTTCAATTTCTCCACGTCCCTGCCAACATTTGTCATCCATCTTTTGTTATAGCTTTCCAGTAGGTGTGAACTGGGGTCTAATTTTGGTTTCAGTTTGCATTTCCCTGATGGCTAGTAATGTTGACCATCTTTTTATGTGCTTATTGACCACTTATGTATCTTCTTTTAGGAATTTTTTTTTTCAAAATTGTTTAAATTGGCTTGCCTCTTTATTATTAAGTTTTAAGAGTTTTTTTATGTGTTCCGTAAACAAGTCTCTTATTTAATATATGATATGCAAAATGGGTCAGGAAGTGTTTCTTTGTTTCTTCTTCTATGTTTTTGGAAACGCTTGTACTTTGTAACACTTTGACTTTGGAATGCTTTGGAACTGGTACCAGTTCTTCAAATATGTGACAGAATTCATCCGTGAAGCCACTTGGTCCCAGGCTTTTTATTGTGGGAAGTGTTTTTGACTACTAATTCAATCTCTTTACTGATTATGGGTCTATTAGATTTTCTATTTCTTTTGGGTCTTTTGGTAGTCTGTAGGTCTCCTACAATGTGTCCATTTCATGTATGTTGTCTGATTTGTTGGCAGGCAGTTGTCCATAGTATACCTTTTTTTTTTTTTAAGCTTATTTATTTATTTTGAGAAAGAGAGACTGTGTGAGTGTGAGTGGGGGAGGGGCAGAGAGAGAGAATATCCCACGGAGGCTCCACACTGTTAGCTTGGAGTCCGATGTGGGGCTCAGACCCACCAACCATGAGATTGTGACCTGAGTGGAAATCAAGAGACGGACGCTTAACTGACTGAGCCACCCAGGCACCCCCATAGTATTCCTTTACAATTATTTTTATTTATGTATTGGTAGCGATATTTCCTCTTTTATGTTTAAAAAAATTTTTTTTAAGTTTATTTATTTATTTTGAGAGAGAGGAAGAGCACAAGTAGGGGAGGGGCAGAGAGAAGGAGAGACAGAATCCTAAGCAGGCTCACGCCATCAGCACAGAGATGCAGGGCTTGAACCCACGAAGTGTGAGATCATGACCTGAGCCGAGATCAAGAGTCGCTTAACCGACTGGGCCACTCAGGTGCCCCTTTCTTTTATGTTTTTATTAATTTGAATCTTCTCTTTTCTTCTTTCTTTTTTTCTTAATTTCTTTTTAACGTTTATTTATTTTTGAGACAGAGAGAGCCCAGAGCATGAACAGGGAGGGCAGAGAGAGGGAGACACAGAATCTGAAACATGCTCCAGGCTCTGAGCTGTCGGCAAAGAGCCTGACGCGGGGCTCGAACTCACGGATCATGAGATCATGACCTGAGCCGAAGTCGGACGCTTAACCGACTGAGCCACCCAGGTGCCCTCTTCTTTCTTAATCTAGGTCAAGTTTCACCAATATTTTTGATCTTTTTAAAGAACCAACGTTTGGTTTCACTGACTTATTGTTCTTACACTGTTTTATTTATTTCACTACTAATCCTTATTTCCTTTCTTCTGCTTGCTTTGTGCTGTTTTTTCTTCTTTTTCTAGGGACAGAAGGTGAAAGATAGGTTGCGGATTTAAGATCTTTTTTCTTGTTTTTATGTAGGCCTTTGCAGTTGTGAATTCCACCCCCACCCGGCCACCCGAAGCGCCCTGCCCTACAAGGCAGCTGGGGTGAAGGTGGTCAGAGCCTCGGAGCATTCCTGGCACGCTGTGACTGGGAGTCAGCCTCTGCCTGTCTGTCTGAGGAGGAGGGACCAGGTGGGGGAAGGGAGCCCTGACCTCTCAGCTGTTCTCAGCAGGAATTTAGCCTTTTCATCTTACAGTTGGTGGGGATGAGAAATGCTGGCAGACTGCCTCTCCTGGTGAGATACTACAATCCTTCTTTAGGAGTCGAGGAGGAAGGGAGACCTGTCTTCTCGGCCTCATCCGCCCAGAGTGGGGCTTCTATCAAACGTAGCTGGCAGAGGGCTGGGAGTGGGTGGGTTATAGCTGTCATTTTTTCCTAGAAGTTTCAGGAGATTTTCTTGACTAAATCATGATTCATTTGCTGTATGCCCTTGGGAAATTCCCAGAGACTTAAAAGTTAGAAGAATAATTTTCATGAACTTTGCGTGGGTTGGGTCCATGGAGGTGCGTATGTTTTCATCCCAGAAATGGAACTCCAGAAACTGCTTTTTAGAATTTTCATTTTGCTTTAAGATTGTATAAAATATTTATAAGCTTCCAAAGTCAAATCTACAGAACAAGATATCTTCAAAAAAAGGACTAACTTATGATCCCTCTACCCTATTTCATCCTTCATTCTTTGGAAACCATTAAAATGTTCTTCCTGGGGCGCCTGGGTGGCTCAGTCGGTTAAATGTCCGACTCTTAATTTTGGCTCAGGACATGATCTCATGGTCGTTGAGATTGAGCCCCACGTCGGGCTCCATGCTGACAGCTGGGAGCCTGCTTGGGATTCTCTCTCTCTCTCTCTCTCTCTCTCTCTGCCCTTCCCTGCTCTCTCGCTCTCTCAAAATAAATAAACTTTAAGAAAGTGTTCTTTTTTCTTTTAAATGTGTTAAGTGAATATGTTCTCCAGAAAGGTTTATATTTTTGTTCTCAAGGTTGTCTTTATACTATATATAAAACATTTAGTGCTCTCTTTTTTGGTTATTGCCTATTTTTTTCCCCACTAGGAGCAATATTGAAATTAGCCAGTGTCCTCATATTTTCTCTTCTCTTCATCTCCATACCATCTGATTTGATGTAGTGTCGTTTTACTACTTAATGCCTAGAAATGAAGTTACTCTACTGTCATATACTCTGGCCATTCTTCCATCAAGCTTCGATGGTTGTAACATAACCAGACTGCATTACTAAATACTATTCTATCTCACAACCATTAGTGAGTATTACGTCAATGTATCCCCTTCCATATTGGTAGTCTGAAGCTAATTATGTAATAAATTGACAGGGAGAATTTGTCAAAACCATATTCCTGGAATTCAAAGCCATCAGTACATGGTTCTTAAACTTGAAGATCCATTTAGTGGAATACAAAATTCTTGGCTTGAATTTTCCTTTTTGCATATTTTAAAATATCATGCCATTGTCTTCTAGCCTACGGTGTTGCTCCTGAAAAGTGAGACGGCAACTGATTTTCTTTACTTTCTTACTGACTGACTTGGTATTTTTGCTGAATACCCAAAGGTTTTCTTTTTTTCCTTTTGAAGACTGTGTTCCTGGAATACATGTCAGTATTGACAGCTGTGGGCCAATATTCTCAAGTATCCAGGTTAGGCTCAAGTCTTTTTTCATTCAGGAAAATTTGCTTAAATTACAGATTTATTTGTTCTCATCCATTACTTATTTCTTTGGGGACTCCTATGTGTATATTGGGTCTTCCCTTTCGCCTTCAAAAATGACATTTTTGGTTTTAAAAATATTTGTTCTTTCAATTTTATAACGCTCTTTTAGGGCATTTTGTATTGTGTTTATTCCAGTTTGCATGATTTTTCTTTATTTTGAAAAAAATGTTCAAATAAGTAACTAAATAAATAAATGTAGTTTTTGAGTTCCGACAACTTCTTCAAATATTCCTTTTTTCCAATCACTTTATTTCCACATTTTTCCAGTTCTGATTTATGCTATTCTTTAATACTTTCTACAATTATGTTAATTTTTTTTAGTTCATATTGAGACATTAGGTAACAGTTTTATTTGCTCTCTGGGCATGTTTTTCTTTCATTGATTGTAAGGATATTCTTCCTTCCCTTGCTTCCTCCCTCACTTTTTTCTTTCTTTGTAATAATAATAACATTGTATAGAAATTGACTATGATTCTTTCCTGTTGCTCATTTTTTTTCTTTTTTTGAGAGAGAGAGAGAGAGAGAGAGAGAGATCGTGCATGGGGGAGGGGGGGCGGGGGAGGCGCAGAGGTGGGGAGAAAGAGCAAGAGAGAGGAAAAAATCTTAAGCTGTCAGCATGGAGTCTGACACAGGGCTCCATCCCACAACCCTGAGATCATGACCGAGCCGAAATCAAGAGTCAGCTGCTCAACCAACTGAGCCACCCAGGCGCCCCTGTGTCGCTCATTTTTAAGTGATAGGAGTTTTTCTGTACTTTAAAGAAGGCAGGGGTGGGCCAGGATATATTTCTAGCTTCATAGCTCTAAAGCTCCTTGGTCTGTTCTTTCTATGAAATAATTAAGACATGGCCTATTCTCTGAGCTCTGTTTCCTCTGCTCTCTTTCCCCCCATGTTTATCCGGGTTTCTCTTTTCTTTGCCCTGATGTCCTGCAACCTAGATTGTCATCGATTTCTCCTTAGTGAGGGGTCGGCTCTAGAAGTGAGCTCAGGATTACGAGTTTTGTGAATTCCAAGGACCCAGACCATTTTGGCACCTGCTGACCTTTCCTCAGGCTCCCTTGCTCTCCTCCATGAACGAAATTTGTAGACTCCTCTGACAGCCTTTTCATGCTTAGAGAGTACCTGCTGGTGATTCTGGATCCCCCTGTTCTCAGGGTACTCGGATACCCCATTTTGCTCTTTCCATTTCCTCCCACATGAGTGCAGATGCCAAGTGGGTCTTATCAAATTGGTGGTGGTTCTTTCCCACTTCTCATATTTTGGGGTTCTTGTCAGCTAGTTTTATTGTGGATCCTTCTATTATTTTGATACATTCTTACAGCATACCCTCATGTTTTTAGATCCTTATTCTTTGGTAGTGTGGTTTTACCTAAGAGATCACCATATGAATAAGTATGTGGCTGCCTTGAGCTGCTTAGACCACGCCTAGTAATCATTCTGTACTTTTAAGGCTTGATGTGAATCACAGAATGCTGCTTCTGACAGCATAACAGACAGACTATCTAGGGTTTTACTCACAGTGGGAAGGCCTCTGAATTCGCTTAAACCTGATGAGCTGGCTTATCTAAAGTTCGTTGTATTTGAACTTTATCTCTGAGCCACTTCTAAAGAGCTTCAGAAGGGAGAAACAAGAGTTTAGGATCATTCCATCTCTGTGGTAAAAAAAATATTTTCCAACCTAGTAAATTAATGTTCTTACCCTATGAAATTCTTAGCCTTTTGAAATCACTGGTTTTTAAATAACCATGCCTTGATCCTCTATTAGAAGTACAATCTGCAAAATTCTTAACTGTAAAGGTATTTGATGATCTACTTTCAAGATAAGTCTAAAGCTATAAGCAAATCTCATCTATATGAGGAAAGAAATCACAGTTGAGTCATGGTCAATGTTTCATGATCAGAACAGAGGCTTGGAATTTACAGTGAGTTCCCAAAGTCAGTTTTTGGTTTTTTTTTTAAATATGTCTATGGGTTTAAAAACAGCGAATATTTTACTGAACTGCTCTTGTATAAATCTGGGGCATATCCTACTTTAGGAAGTTGTTCTGTAGTAAAATACAAGACTTGGAGCTATTTAAAAAAAGACAATGCCCTAGTATTGCTGAAAGTTTCACTTGCTCAGGGACAGAATAATTGATGGGATTTAAAAAGTCGCAGTCATGGCTTTGACATTTCTAGTTTCTCTGGTCCAACTGTTAATTACTGTAAATGTTTAGATTTTTCTGTGCATTTCCTCATCAACAAGTAAAAGCTTTGATCTCTATTCCATGTGGAATCACATGGGTAGAGAGAAGAAATGGGATATATTGAAATAAAACAGAAAAGAGAAATTATAAAAATATTTGCTTCTGTGTGTTTTAAATTGTTGAGTTCACACATCACAAGAAATTTGGTTTCTTTGAAGACTTAAACACTGGCAACTCAATAGTCTACAAATAGATTATTTCATTCCATTCAGTGTTTTGTAGAATTTTTTCCTTTAGAAATATTGAACAGGGGTGCTGGCTGGCTCAGTCAGAAGAGCATGTGACTCTTGATCCCTGGGTTGTGAGTTTGAGCCCCACGTTGGGTGTAGAGATTACTTAAATAAATAAAACTTAAAAAAAAAACTAAAAAAGTAAATACAAAGCAATTTCCAGCTTGGTCCCCAAATTATTTAGTGCCATGTCTCCCATGGTCCTGCTCTCTGTTGGAGCAGAGACTAAAGGGAAGTCAGGGGAAGTATGATTCATGATCTCTGCACCTCTGTGAGCTTCCGGCAACACAAGAAGGAATATGATGGTGAGCGGAGAGAAGCAAGGGTGCAAACGAATAGTTCCCCACTGAGGAAGTCCTGAGGCCCTCTTTTGAGATCACCTTCAACCTTGTGCCTTGGGAGTAGAAGTTTCCATTATATTCTCCACTTAGCACATTACCATCCATACACCAAGTAGGCATACAATGAATAAACGAATCAAAATGCTTCCCAGTCGGATAGAATTCAAATACTGCTTCCTCTATAAAGCCCGCCTTAATCCTTAGTCTGAAATCATCTCTAATGCTTCCCTTCTCTGACCACCCATGGAGTCCTCCATGAGGCATGTTTCTTGGTGTTGGCTAACTTCAGAGCTCACCCTAAAGGCTTTACCAAAGTATAAGGTTGTGGGGAATTCTGTTTCTCATTGGTGGCTCCAATGTATTTATCCCATCCCAAAGACTCTTTTTACAGTATGACTGACCCACCCAGAGATGGGGCTGCTGGGGTTATAGTCCCTCCTCTGGAAACAGGACAAGATTTGTGACTATCTCAACTGGCCCAGTGGGGTATGACTGAAGGGATCCCATGTGACTTCTTAGGCTGGGTCACAGAAAGGTTCGAGCTCCTCTCCTTCTACGCCCTCCATGATGCTTACCTCAGAATCCAGAGCTATGATGTAAGGAAGCCTGGGACTGGCCAGATCTGTGACCCAAGGCCAGAATCAACCACTAGATGTATGTGAGTAAATCTTCCGGTGATTTCTGCCCCCAGACTTTGAGTGTTCCACCTGAGGCCGCAGGCATTGCGGAGGAAAGGCATGTCCAACACGTCCTGCCCCATTCCTGATGCGTGGACACTGTGAGAGAGGACAAAGGAGTATTGTTTTCAAGTCACTAAGTTTTCAGTGGATTCATTTTGCACCAATAAGTAGATAACCAGTACAAACATGAGGGTTCACGTGTAAATGTTTTTTCATTTTCTCCCCTTTTCCTACTCCTAACTCCTAACTTCTGTAGCAACCAGGATGATGGTCTGCACACACAGCGGAAATCCCATTTCTTTAGGTGATTATGAGAATTCAGTAAGATTGCACGCAAAAGGATCTGGCAGGATGTTCAGTAATATGACGTAACCGATAAATGTTAACTGAAATTGCTACACGATTCATTTATTTTCTAGCTTCACTGAGATGCAACTGACACATGACATTGTGTAACTTTAAGATGTAGGTGTTGACTTGATAAACTTGTATTTTGCAAAATGATTGCTACGACCACAGTGTCAGCTAACATCTCCAACATGTCATATAATTACCAGTTTTCCCTTTTGCAGGTGAGACTCTTCAAGATTTTCTCTCTTAACAACTTTCAATATAGAATAATACAGAATTATTAGCTTCAGACTTACTCATCGTATAGCTGGAAGTTTGTACCCTTTGACCAACATTTCTCCATTTCCCCCACTGCTCAGCCACTGGTAACCACCCTTCTACTCTCTGTTTCTATGAGTTCAGTAGTTTTAGGTTCCACATAGAAGTGATACTGTACAGGCTTTGTCTTTCTCTGATTTATCTTATTTAGCCTCATGCCCTCAAGGTCCATCCATATGGTCACAAATGGCAGGATTTCCTTCCTTCCTGTGGCCGAATAATATCCCGTTATATATTTCATGACAGCACAACGTAATAATGCGACACGTCGCATCTTCTTTATCCATTCGTCTGTTGACGGACACTTAGGTTGTGCCATATCCTGGCTACCGTGCATAGTGCTGAACTGACATGGAAGTGAAGATATTTTGTCAAGATCTTGTTTCCATTTCCTTTGGATCCATACACAGAAATGGGATTGAAGAATCATATAGTAGTTCTACATTAAAAATTTTTGAGGAACCCCCACTCTGAGTCACAGTTTCTGTACCAATTTGGCTTTGTTTTCTTATAGCTTACTGAATTTCCTTAAAGCTGCTATTTTGATTTATTTGTCTGGTAAACTGCAGATCCTCATGTGTTCAGTTTGCTTACAGGAAGCTTATTATGAGCTTCTGGTGGTGTTACGTGACCTTGATTGTTCCTGTTCCTTGAACTTCTGCGTGGCTATCCTCGCGTCATCTCCTCCAGTCTTTACTGCCATCTCGAAGGCAGCCAAATTGGTTTTTTGTTGCAGCAGTGTGCTGGCACTTCTTCTCTGTAATCGTGGACTTCCCCAAAGGCTCTCTCATGCACAGGCAATTGCCTAAGTCAGTGTTCTCCAGGAGCTTCTGGACCACAGCTAAGAGGGGCTGAAGCCAGTTAAGGTGCCATTACAAGATCCACAGCTAGGACCAAGGTCCGTCTGCCTATTGCCTGATGAATTGATAGGTGAGACTTGTCCTGGATCCCTTAGCAGGTGGTGTTGGATGCCACAGTTACCGCAAACACACCCTTGCCCATGGATGCTGAACTTTTGCTGTCGGGGCGACAAAAATGAGGGACATCTTTTGCCATCACGATGCTGATGTAACTCCTCTTACAAGTAAATTACGACTTTGCTTCCTCTGCATATCACGTCTGCCCGACCAAGAAGGAAACAGTCTATTCACATCAATTCAGCAAAGGCAAGTCTCATCTGTTAGTAAATGCTAACCAAACCAGTTGTACAAAACAGCAGTTACTTGATTAAAACTTCCATTTCTTATCCGGCTGTTCTATGTTATGTTTATATCCCTACTCTGTTCTGTCTCCCATTCCCTTTCCTTGCCCTTTACATTCTCAGACCATTTTTAAAATACACATTGGACTGGTTTATTTGGTTAAAGCCTCTGGAAGGTTTGATTAGAATTTCTCAAATGGCTAGTTGAAACTGCATCCCATTTCTCTTTTGGCACCCTGGTGCAGGAAATGGTCTCAAATCACGCAGGGCTGGATGGAAACATGTGGGCCCTCTGGGCAGGCTAATCATTTGCTGACCTTTCAGATGGATATCCATGAGATATTTGTTACATGTTTATTTAGAGGTGAGGCTATAGAAGGTTGTCGGCAAGGCCTGGACAGCTGGCCTGGGTATGTGCCTGATCTGGCTGGGCGGTCTGTTCTAATCGGCTATTATCTCCGTCCTCCCCAAACTGTATTCGCCACGAGGAGGTCAGCCTGCCCAAATAGAGGGTGCTTCGGTGTTCTGTCATAGATACACAGAACATACTCTGTGCCGGCTTCTTGTTTTGTGTCGTTTTGTTTTTGCGGAAGACATCAACTTTATGAAGACGGCAGGTCCCTTGGTGCGTAGTGTAGCAAGGATTTGCAGAACTGGTATCAGGAAACCTGGGCACTTGGTTTCTCTGTGCTCCTCTCAAATGCCTTCCAATTAAGAATGTTGGATAAAATTTCCTTAAAAGATCTTGTCTGTTACATTATTGCATCTCTTGGGCCTATGGAGCTGCATGATAAGTCTGTACAGAGAAAAAAGGAAGGGAAATCGCAAGGAATTAATCTATATCCTTTAGGTAAGTTAAAATATCATTCCGATTTATAAAAACGCTATGCGATCCAGAGCTAATACCGTAAAGATTTTTCTAAAATCTTGGGGAACTGGATCAGTGAGTAATAGATCACAAACCACAGGATTCATGAAAGAAATGAGAGCTTAACCAGCCATTGCCGTGTTGATCAAAGCACTGTATAATTTTTAAAGATAATAAAATGTGAATGTTTCTATGAATGAATGTGATGATGTCACTGCAGCAAATGCATTCCTAGGTATTACGTATATACTTCTCAAAAATTTGTAGTCTGGGGGGCGCCTGAGTGGCTCAGTTGGTTAAGCATCTCACTTTGGCTCAGGTCATGATCTTATGGTTTGTGGGTTTGAGCCCTGCCCCGGGCTCTGTGCTGACAGCTCAGAGCCTGGAGCCCCGCTTTGGATTCTGTGTCTCCCTCCCTCTCTGCCCCCTCCCCTGCTTGTGCTCTTTTTCTGTCTCTCAAAATGTTAAAAAAAAATTAAAAAAAAAATTTTTAGTCCGATGTTGCAAATACATACCGGAAAATTTCATCCAGAAAATAATTTTTATGATTATGAATACTCATTGTTTTCATGGAAGAGAAGTTTACTTGTTGACTGAATTACATTTATTGAGAAATAAGTAACAACATAAATGATAACAGAATGACAGTGCAGTCATTAAATAACAGATGCCCAACAGTTAATCTGCCAAAACACCAGCTGAAAATCAGACAACGAAGTAAAAGAGATGAGTTCCAATAAAGAGAAAACTTTTCTATGGAGGAATTGGGTGCGAGACATTCATAGTTTGGTTCTGCAAAAGCCTCAGGCAATGCAAAGTACAAAGACGAAGCCAGAATTTCAAGCGGAGAAAGAGACATTAGGTACCTACCTACATTGAACTGTTTACTAGAGTGCCCTATTTATACATAGATACTGGTTATTATTATTATTATTTTTTCCTGGATTAGATCTAGGATTTAATACTTATGAGAGATTATTATGGCTTAAATAAAATGTTGCAGAAGTTATTTCTCTCGTTCTGAAGATTTTCTTATTGATTTCATTTTCTTTCACCTCCCTTCTTTTTCTTCCCTTTCTTGTAAGGGTGCTTTTTCTTATTTAAACTGCAGCGCTGAGGTGAGATACAGGGCATAGAGAGAATGCTGATCATTTTACAGTAGTTTGAAGTTTCTTTCTGCTGTTCATTTTTAGAAAGAAACGTATGTCATTATATTCATCAAAATTAAGCAGTATTATGGAAAATAACTGTCAAATTATCACCAAATTGTGTCAGGTTCCCACCAAAAGCTGTCAGGTTCAAGGAAGTCAAAGAAAGGTGGAAGAACTGTTTAAATTGCAAGAGTCTAGAGAGTTGGCAGCTAAATGCAATGAATCATCCTGGATTTGATCTTGGACCTCTAGACAATTCTTTTCTCCAAATGGAATTATTGTAAAATTTGACAAAATCTGAATGGGTCCTGTGGATTAGACGGTCATGCTACATCAGTGTTTATTTCATTATATAGTTGGTGGTGCTGTGATTATATAGAATAGTGTCTTTGTATTTTAGGAAATATCCACCAAAAAATATCTAGAGTCACGTTTGCAATTTATTTTCAGTTAGTTCAGAAAAAAATCACACATATGTGTGAGAGAGACAGAGAGACAGAATGAGAAAGTAAATGTATAAATTATTTACAGTTGGGAAGCCAAACAAAAGGCATACAGGAATCTTTATACTATTCTTTTAAGTTTTTAATAAATTGGATGTTATGTTTTTTAAGTAAAAAAAACAACAAAAATATTTTCCACCATATTCTCCACACCTTGCAGTTATTTTATTTTATTTTTTGGTGAAAGAAAAGTCAAGATAAATTAGCAAATGCTAAAAATTAATCATCCAGCTTCTGTAAATATTTTTTGTAATTCAGGAAAATCGATTTTGGATTTGAATGATCTCATTTTCAATCACAACTTTCCAAGGCCGTTTATGGCTTTTAGCTTTGTGCTTGTGTTTTACAAGATATAAGATTTACAAACACTTTTCAAAACAGTTTTGCAATACAAAAATTCCTAATTTCATGTTGTTTTAAATGCATTACCCCTAAAATTGTCCTAATAAAGGATCTGCTAAACTTTAACAAAATATTAGACTTCTAGGCCACGACTATAAGCTTCATGGGAACATTGCTAAGCAAATGAGACATGGTCCATGAACTTACAGAATATTTAAAGCGTTCCACCTTAGGCTGAACTTCACTCAGATTTTTATTCCATTTGCATGCACATTAAGGCTTTTATTTAGTTTGATTTTATGCTCTTAATAACATATGGGTTTTGACAATGGCAGTTTTTCATATTCCTTTCCATACCCTTCCCCACCATGGCATTAGGTTTTAGACAGCAGAATGACCTAAGCTTCTACCGACTCTCCCTGTCCTACAATGCTGTCACCCCTGGAGTGAGATAGAGAGTAAAGACAAAAATAACCAAGTAATTCAATTACAAATAAGAATCAATTAGAAAAAATAATCTTAAATTTGAAAATTTATTCACATAGTTACAAAGTTAAACACGAAATCCTTGACAAAGTTAATTCCTCCTTACCCCTGTTCTTTCCATCCTACTTGGCAGTTAGAGCTTCTTGGATGTGTAGATTGATGTTTTTCATCAAACTGGGAAATTTTGACCATTATTGCTTCAAATATTCTTTTTGTCCCCTCCTCTCTTTCCTCTCTTTCTGCGGCTCTCATTTTACATATTTTGGAATGTGATCTTTTTTAAGGTTATAACTTTAGGAAAAGACACCTTCTAAGATATAGGACTGAGTATCCAGGCACAAATCTGTCAACACTTAACAAAACACTACTTTTTTTTTTCTGTAGGTATTATGATGTAATGGTTTATTTTTCTGTGCTATAATGTTCCATTTAAAATACAGAATGGAGAACATAAGTTAAAATTATTCCGTTCATTTATTGCTAACAAAACATGTAAGAAATTGTGCCCATGAGACTTCAGACAGGATCCATCCTAGAGTTAATGAATTGTAGTTGGACTATGCATTGAATCAAAAAAAAAAAAAAGCCTTGATTTCAAATTTAGAATTAAAGAATCATTGGGGCACCTGAGTGGCTCAGTTGGTTAAGTGTCTGACTTCGGTTCAGGTCATGATCTCACAGTTTGTGGGTTCGAGCCCCGCGTTGGGCTCTGTGCTGACAGCTCGGAGCCCGGAGCCTGCTTCGGATTCTGTGTCTCCCTCTCTCTCTGCCCCTCCCCTGCTCACACTCTGTCTCCGTCTCTCTCTCAAAAATAAATAAACAGTAAAAACATCTTTAAATAAAAAATAATAAAGAATCATTTATGTTTGCACTCAGAGATTTAGGGACTTTCATTATTGCATACCGGATCATACGTTACAGTTCTCTTTCTTGTTTTTATTCATAATATAGCATTATATCAACAGAATAATAGAAGAGTCAAGCTTTGGAAACCTTAACTTTCAAGGAAAACTTGGAATTTGAAATGAGCATGCTAATGATTTTTGAGCTCCTACAAACCGGGAAGATTTGCCTGTCAGTAGCAAAAAGTTATAGAGACTGTATTAGTGACGGTTCTCTAGAGAAACAGAATCAACAGGAGATATCTTTACGTGTACATGAAATGCAGACATATGCACATTTATGTTATGTTATATTTATTATAGGAATTGATTGATGCGATTATGGAAGCGTGGGACATTCCAATCTGCCCTCTGCAAGCGGTAGACTAGGAAAACCAATGGTGTAAGTCCTAGTCCAAGTGCAAACGCCCAGGTACCAGGACTGCTTATGTCTGAGGGCAGGAGATGATGGATGTATCAGCTCAGCAGAGAGCAAATCTGCCCTTCCTCTGACTTTTTGTTCTACTCGGGCCCCCAACAGACTGGATTATGCCTACCTGCATCGGTGAGGTTGATCTTCTTTATTCTGTCTACCAAATCAAATGCTCATCTCTTGTGACCACGCCCTTCACGGACACACTCAAAAATAATGTGTTATTGCTCTCTGGGCATCCCTTAGGCCAGTCAAATTGACACATAAAATTAAACATTACAGAGACTAACAAAGTGTTAAATGTTAGTGATATTAACTAGGTTTAAAAGTATTTTCCACACACACCAGGATGGCTAATATAAAAACAAAAATGAAACGCACGCTCGCAGCGAGTGTTTGCAAGAATATGGAGATGGAGAGATTGGAAGCCCTGTGTCCCACTGATGAGAATGCAAAATGGTGCGGCCACTATGGAAAATAGTATGGAAGTTCCTCAAAAGATTAAAAATAAAACTACCGGACAATCCAGCAATTGCACCGAATGCGTGTACTTGAAGAGATATTTGTACAGCCATGTTTACAGTATCACTATTCACAGCAGCCAAAAAGTGGTAGCAATCCAAGTGTAGGTACACTGGTGGGTAAATGGAAACACAAAATGTGGTGTATACAAAGGCTAGAATATTTATCATTCAGCCTTAAAAGGGAAGGAAATTCCGACACATGCCACAACATGGATGAACCTTAAGGACATTATGCCCAATGAAATAAGCCAGTTACAAGAAGGCAGATACTGTATGATTCCACTTACATGAGGTATCCAAAGCAGTCAGATTCACAGAGAGAGTAGAAAGCTGGTTGCCAGGGGCTGGGGGGACTGGGAATGGAAAGGTGATTTTTAATAGAGTTTCAGGTTTATGAGGTGAAAAAGTCCTAGAGATCGGTTGCCCAATAATGTGAATACCCTTAACAAGACTCAACTCTCGAAAATAAAATGCTAAATTCTATGTCGTGTGCCTTTTGCCACCATTAGAAAGAATACTCTTGTGTATGTTTCTGATGCTACAGCAGTCTTGTGAGATTTGCGGGAAGGGAGAATTGACATAGTTCATCCATGTTCAAAAAGGTGAACCTGCTGCAAATCAAAGGGTAGTTAAATGTTGGGACTGTGGGAGAGGATTGGGAACGGACATTTACAATGCTCCTTTCTGCACTGATCTAAGCGTGTCACACAAAGGCTTCACATCTATTTGTTTCCTTTAGTTCTCCCAATAATCTTCTGAAGTAGAAATCCATCTCCCCATTTTCAGAGAAGCTATCTGAGGTTTAGAAGAGGTAAGTGATTTGCCCAAGATCAAAGACCCAGGAAGAAGCGACATCTTCAAGGCACAGACGATTCACACTGTTCTAGATTCGATATTGCCGGAATTGGGGTGTGACGGACAGCGGAGTACAAACCCTGACCCCCCTGCCTCAAAGATGGGACAACTCTACGGGGCGATCTGTTGTTCTAGGCACCCATCCCCACAGGGGTTCAGGCTAACTTTGGATTCTACCTGAGGCAACAGCCAACAGTGTTAGAGTGGGACACTAGAGTCGGATCAGATCTTGGCTGGCACCCGGGACCCATCCTTGCTGGTAGCGGAGGCACCGGCGCGCCCCATCATGGTGTCACTGCTAAGGCACGTGTCCACTGCAGTGGCACCCGGGCCGAAGGGATGCACCGCGGTGGAGTATGTCTGGCGTTCGAAAGGTCTGGGGGGGAATAAAACATACAAAGATGGCGGAGTTGCATAGCCACAGCTGTTGCTGTCTGGACGCCAATGATGCACGAAGAAAGAAAATGGCAGGCTCGGGCGAACTGCAATTTTTAAAGGGGAGTGTGAGAATCAGAGAGATTTTGTGCACATTTAGAGATCCCTACCACCACGCCCAAGCCCTAGCCTCCACTATCTTCAGCCACAGGGCAGAGAAAGCTCCAGGTCAGGCACAGGACTGAATTGTGAATGACAACCATCGGGGAACGCTTAATTCTCAGCTGACCTGGGTTGCCTACACCATGGTCAAGGTGCTGATAGGGAAGGGATGGGGATCTGAAACTTGAGATGGGGAGTCTGGCTAGAGTTTCCTGAACTTTCTTGCCCATGACCTCTTGTTGTGAGATGGACTCCCGCCTGGCTCCTCTTTATTTGAAGATTGCAAAAGCCTCAAACGGGGCAAGCACTTTAAAAACAGAAGATCTGCTCCCAACCCCCCTCTTGGACACCCGTCAATATCTAGCGTCAAGTCTCAGTGTATCCTGACTGTGAATGTGCGGGACCTGGTGGAGGAGGAAAGGGATTCTTTGCCGAAAGAGCAACCGTGTGTGCTAACATGTACCAGCAGGATCCAGAAATGTCTGCCTGGGAGTGGATCCCGGGGGTGTTGAATCAAAGCGTCAGGAAGACAAATCTAGGTAAGGGAGAGGTTGTCAACATCGGATGCTGTTTGGTAACACAGTCAACAGCACCCTGGTGAGGGCCCCAGAGGACTATTAACACCCTGTTGGGATGGCTTTTAGATGTGTGAAAAAGTGAACACCTCATTAAACAAAGTAGAGATGCCAGAAATTCTGTGACTGGGCTCAGAGGGTCTAGTTGTTGTTAAGCCCATGATTTCACCTGGTGAAACGGGGTAGGGCATTTATTTCTTTACCGCAGGCACCAAAGTTGCTCTTAGGGAGAGAATGGCCTTTACGTGGAAGGTGAGTGATGGTGTGGGAAGAGGAAATGACTTAGCAGAAGTCAAGCAAACAGAAAAGACAGTTGAACTTTCCAGTGCAGATGAAAAGATGTTCAGCGTCGCTCCTTATCAGGGAAATACAAATCAAAACCACACTCAGGTATCACCTCACGCCAGTCAGAGTGGCCAAAATGAACAAATCAGGAGACTCTAGATGCTGGAGAGGATGTGGAGAAACGGGAACCCTCTTGCACTGTTGGTGGGAATGCAAATTGGTGCAGCCGCTCTGGAAAGCAGTGTGGAGGTTCCTCAGAAAATTAAAAATAGACCTACCCTATGACCCAGCAATAGCACTGCTAGGAATTTATCCAAGGGACACAGGAGTACTGATGCATAGGGGCACTTGTACCCCAATGTTCATAGCAGCACTCTCAACAATAGCCAAATTATGGAAAGAGCCTAAATGTCCATCAACTGATGAATGGATAAAGAAATTGTGGTTTATATACACAATGGAATACTACGTGGCAATGAGAAAAAATGAAATACGGCCTTTTGTAGCAACGTGGATGGAACTGGAGAGTGTGATGCTAAGTGAAATAAGCCATACAGAGAAAGACAGATACTATATGGTTTCACTCTTATGTGGATCCTGAGAAACTTAACAAGAACCCATGGGGGAGGGGAAGGAAAAAAAAAAAAAAAAGAGGTTAGAGTGGGAGAGAGCCAAAGCATAAGAGACTGTTGAGAACTGAGAACAAACTAAGGGTTGATGGGGGGTGGGAGGGAGGAGAGGGTGGGTGATGGGTATTGAGGAGGGCACCTTTTGGGATGAGCACTGGGTGTTGTATGGAAACCAATTTGACAATAAATTTCATATATAAATAAAAAAAAATAAATGACAATAAATCAACCACAAAAAAAAAAAAAAAAAAAGAACTTTCCAGTGCAGGAAGCGACTAGGTACTCTTGGTAGCCGAGCTGGTGGCTGGGAGAAGGGAGCAAAGGACGAAGACAGAAGGCCTTATTACCATGAGGTACTGCCATCCAGCAGTGGCTGTAGCCTCCACAGGTGGTCCTCCAACAGCTGGTATTAAGCTGTCGTCAAAGGTACCAAAAAAAATCCCTCTGTCTTCCCAAACTCCCACTCACACGAATGTCGAGGGAGATGGCATTTAATGGATACAGAGGAAGAAATCTCAATGCCACGTGAGCGACACAGTTCTGAGCAACACAGCTCAGCAAGACATTCCCTAAGCTGAGCTAACATAGTGGCTCCAAGAACTCGATAGTGGAGCTGACTAGAACTTAAGTGCTCCTGGACTTCTCAGGGATCCCTGGGGTGGGGGTGGGGATGGAATTTCCAGTATCTGCCTTAGGGACTTTGAGGTCATCTTCCCTCCAGGAGTGGCCAGACTTCGAATGCAGTCTTGGTTCTACTAGTCTGGGGGTTCAGGGAACGGATTCTGGGGAAATCAGTGTCTCACTGGTTCTTTTCTGAAGAATGAGTTTGGCTCAGCCGGCAATCCAGTGAAGGCGTAAGTCAGGTTGCTGGAAACTGAGGGATTTAATAGGGAGGGAGGAAGGATGTAGGTATGAGATAGCTATGAGTTGTAGCAGGAAAATGGGAGAGAACCAAATGCAAATGATAAATTGACCGTGGCTGGGCAGGTTGCTTAATTTTCTCCCATTTAGCTTCTGTAAAGAGAAAAATTTGCCAGGTGATGTGAGTTCACCTTATAATTCTATACTTCTAGTAGTCACTGAGTTCTGTAAATTCAGCATGCAGACACATTTGCCTTAAATCTATGTTACGGACTGAACGTTGGCGTCTCTCCAAAATACAAACATTGAAGCGCTAACCCCAAGTATGATAGTATTTGGAGGTGGGGCCCTTGAGGCATAGTTAGGTTTAAATGAGGTCATGAGGTGGGGGACCCACATGTTGAGATTAGTGTTTCATAAGAAGAGGAAGAGGGGGCAGGGCTCCCTCTCTCTCTCTTGATCTCTCCCTCCCTCCCTTTGTTCACCTCCCTGTCTCTCCACTGTGTGAGGACACAGGGAGAAGGCAGCCATCTGCAAGTTTCAAAGAGACCTCTCACTAGGAAGTGAACACTGAGGGACCTTGATCTTGGGCTTTCTAGTCTCCAGAACTGTGGGAAAACAAATTTCTGTTGTTTAAGCGCCCCCCCACCTCAAGTCTATGGTATTAGCACGCTATGTCTTACTATAGCAGCCAGAGCTAAGACATCTACTAACCCCTTCTCTTTACCTCAGATGCCAAGATTCAGATGCCATGAATTTTCCCATAGTCTACTGGGCTAGAAGGTAGTCCCTGGTCCCTCAGTAACATCAAGAAACTTGGCGATGAGGGTGCCTGGGTGGCTCAGTAGGTTAAGCGGCCGACTCTTGATCTCGGCTCAGGTCATGATCCCACAGTTTGTGGGATCGAGCCCTGCATCGGGCTCTGCACTGACAGCACAGAGCCTGCTTGGGAATCTCTCTCTCTCTCTCTCTCTCTCTCTCTCTCTGTCCCTACCCATCCTGTGATGGGCTCTTTCATTCTCAAAAATAAGGAAACAAACATTAAAAAAACCCCAATTTGGTTATTAATAACCACTCCTTAGAAGCAGAATAGTGTAGAAAGAGAACCCAGGATGTATAATCAGAAGTGACCCTGGCAGAATCATGATCTCATTTCTTTAATGGGAGAATAAGTACTCCTGCCTTACCAGATGTTTCTGAGGTTCAAGCACAACTGTTTGCACTGCAAATAGCAAATACTTGTTACATAATTCTGCTTATTACGACTTTTATAAAACAGAAACACACACAAATACTACAAGATTTTTACAAACGGACAAATGAGACACATAAAAGTGAATTAAGTTTTCCTCTCAGGACAAGAGCGCAAAAGAAAATGCCTAAAACCGGCCCACTGTTTTTTGTCACTTACTTATCTTACTTATTTTGGATATCTGTCTTGTTTGGGTTGTGAGTTTTTCTCTTTCACGGAGTTATTTCATTTTCAGAAATAGGCCTAACACATCACAATAAAGCATAAAATACGGTCTCTTCATGATTGACTCCAACATGGCAGTGAAAGGTGAATGTCAGAGAAGAGATAAGAGGAGGGAGGAAGTGAAGAGTGACCGGGAACAATGCTGGTCTGGATTTCTGACAGTTCTCGCAACACGTATTGTTTTAACTATCAGTTCTTGGGTGGAAAAAGTAGTTAGCAGTAACGTTCCCAAGAAGCAACAATTAGAAGAATGTGGCATTCAATTTTTGTTAAGAAATCAAGGGCACAGGGGCGCCTGGGTGGCTGTCAGTTAAGCATCCAGCTCTTGATCTCAGCTCAAGGTCTACATCTCAGGGTTGTGAGTTCAAGACCGGGGTTTGGCTCCACACTGAGCGTGGAGCCTACTTAAAAAAAAAAAAAAAAGAAGAAGATGGAAATTGAGGGCACGAAAAGGCATATTCATACTCAATTAAACTGGGAAGTCTCTAACACACTAGTGGGACTTGGAAAGTATCGTGTTCTTGATTTGTCCCCACGGGGACAGCATATTAGTGATCGATGACATCTCTCACGTACGTATTCCCCACCCATCGCCATGCTCCTTGAACACATTTTATTCTGAAATTCACCCCACTTCGCCTCTCTCTTACTCTTAATTACCAACTATTGTGGGTAGTCGTCGTTCTCAACGTAGCATGCTTTATTTATGTACCTTGGTCACAAAACTCAGATGTAAATTAAAGGAGAATCTCTTACATAGCTTTATGCTAGTTTAGCTTTCTTATTTTAGTGCTGAGAACCTACGTGGAGTCCAATGGAAAGCATGCTGGTTATTATACCTCATTGCTTACATTGGTGAGGTAATATCAATAAGAAATAAATACGATGGTCAAAACGTGGTCTCAGAGACAAATGGAACCTAGTAGACTTAAGAGACACTTTACACAGTGTTCTATTACAAAGGCAAAATACATTGGACACAATGAAGCTATAGCTTGAATTATAAATTGATTAATAATGTCACTGAAAGGAATCATGACGTATTTGCAAATGGTATCGACAAACAGAAAAATTCTGTTAATAATGATCTAAGCTTATGAGCTGAGAAGGAAAAGATAAAGCAATTGTCAGACTGTATATGGAGCTTTTCCAGGATAGAATACTGTTATGTTTTCTCCCCACCAATGAAAAAGGGAAGCAGAGAAAGGGAATAACTTGTTGTTACTAAACAAGTATGCTTTGGTTTGAAAGGGCATGAGGGTTTACAGATAATGCTGAACTGTCTAGAGAAATATTTTGATTTCCATTATTGCCAAATATTTTCTTCCCAAGTACACAGGAAAGCTTCCTGCTTTAGGAAATAAAGACCAGTGGAGAGCTACTTTTGCCCCGATGCACAGGGGTTGGGAGTGTGGCAGGGGATATGGTGGGGAAGTGCACTGTAAGACTTACACGGGTGGCCAGAAGGTGGGGCTTCTTTCTTGCATAACGGACTTGCTCACATTCTGTTTGTGATCCAATTAGACACTAAAACTTCTCCACGAAGAACAAGCCAAGTGACTTAATATGTCTCCCTGGTCAGGTACTAGCTCAAGAGGAGAGAATGAATGACTGTAACTTCCCATGCGTTTTCAGTTACATCCGTCCTGACGAGTAACTTTCAGGTCACGAAACTCTTTCATTTAAGGACCAGTATTAGGAGATTAGGGGAGGGGCAATTTCTCTTTGTCCTTTTGTCTACACACCCAAATAAATAGTGCCTTCTCCCCCCTTTCTGTACTTGTTTTTGAAGTAAAGACATATTGACTCGGCCTTGAATTGGGGTAATGGAGAATTGATATAGGCTGCCTGCAACATTTTCTAGTTAAATTAGTCATGCTCTCATTTTTGGAAGACACATCATATCTTGCAGGTAATGGAAATAATAATCTCTCATTTCTACTTACCAAATGAGTCAGTTTTCTTGCCATCATTTTTCAAGGAAGATTTTGAGTCAGGGGCAACTTTCGTTATTTTTCTACTCTTCCATCCGAGAGAATCTGCAATCTAGTGATGTTGGATGGAATATCTAAACTCAGAGCAGTGCTGAAAATAAATACATACAAAAATCACCAACCAAGCACAGAAAACAGAGATCTGTCTAAAGTCTTTATTTTTACTATGGACAATGCAGATTTTTTAAATTCTAAAATTAAAACAAAATTATTGCACACAAAAGGGCAGTGAATTTAGTAAAGAAGGAAATGGCAAGAACTGTCAAGTCTGAATTTTGTCTTTTTCAGTGTCCTAAGTCACAGAATTTCATCAACCCCTCGTTTAACCTTGTATCAAAAGGGGGGATACACTCTTTGAAAAGAGGATTTTAGGGCTCCCCTGCATTATTGCAGAACTATTTTCTCTCAACATCACGAACTTGTTTTGAATCACATCCAATTGTTCCCTGTTGGAATTCAGACACTCAGGAGTTGACAACAAAGTCTGCTTCCTCTAACGCTGGCTTCTCAGGGTGCATTCATACTACTCTTCACGGAATTGTACCAAAACCTCATTTGGGATGGAAGTTATATTTTCAAAATAGAAACTGATGAAGAACACAATGTCTTATATTTCGTCTATAGCTAATCATTACTTTTTTTCAAAAATCACATACAGGGTTTGAAAAATAATAACAACCAAACAAAAATAAAATACCAAGATCAAACTAGAACAACACCCCTTTCAGCCTCTCTGACTCCTTCCCTCCAGATGCAGGTGGAACTTGAGAGGCTGCAGTGACTGGAAGGCCTGAAGTTTCTGCCTCCTCTTTCTAATGTGTTCACTATATTAAACTTTGGATCTTAGTTTTAGGAAGCAAATGATGAAATCTATCGAGCAATGAGTTTCTTGCCCCCCACCCTCCCCATTTAATTCATCTGATCTCGGGGATATCCTGTAGGGCGGGTGACTTTGGTGAACCTCAGAGCAGGACCCTACCAAGCTACTCTGTGTGGCCTGGGAGGAGAGAAGAGGAACGCTATTCCCTAAATGTTTCATCTGTTCCATAAACAAAACCCTGATTTTGTAATAAAACAATCTTTCCCCTGACTCTAATCCATGCTCTGTCATTAACTATTTGGGAGACATTAGAGAAGTTAATGACTCAAATATGAGAGTTCCATAGTTGTAGATTTGAATTCAAACTCCCATAGTTAATAGCTCTGTGACTTTGGGCAAGTTTATTCAACCTCTCTGGAACCTTAAAATGGGGATATTAATATTTATCTCAGAGGGTCGTTGGGAAAATTAAAATTTGCCTATTCCTAACATACATAATTTTGTGTGTGATATTAGGGAAAGTTATTTTTTTTCTCTTGGGTTCTCAATTTTCTTTTCAAAAACAAGTAAGCTGATTTTGCTAATATTCTCTGAATTTCTGACTTATTGGTAAATCTTTGGGTTTCTTTCCAGGTTCTCTATAGATTATGATTTCATAATGTTAGAGAAGATTGTATTCATTAGTTCAATCCAAATGCTTTGGCTACTGCAATTTATAAGATCAATATTTATTTACTTGAGATACCCAGGTCTGGTTATGTTACCAACTGACTTGACCGTAGACAAGTTATTTAACCTCTCTTTCATCTTCAAAAAGGAGATTATAACACCTACTTCACAAAGCTCTCGTTAGAGCAGATGAAATAGTATTTGGAAAGTACTTACGATAGTGCCTGAAGTATACAAGTGCCTAATAAATGGTAAAATTATTTTCATTATTCTTACTAACAAAAAAAATCTAAAAGGTTTGTGACAAATTATACAAAGGAAAATGGGTCAACCCGAAGAATATAAGTGGTAGAAAGAAGTGACATACGTGTCATATACACAGGTCAAATATACTCATTGGACATTTGGAACGTGGGAAAATTCTCAAATTCAGGCTGATGGCCCACTTATTTTAAGCAATTTTTGGCGACTCAAAATTCTAGGCAAACAGAAAGGTCACATAACCCTTCAGATTTTAGTAGAGTATATTGGGCCCTTAGTATTGAAAAAGAAATAGGTAATTTTCAGCTTAGTGTTTAGGTAGCAGGGTCTGCACCCTGTAGCGTTATCTGCCAGCAAAGGGCCTGGAGTTTTCTTCTTTGCAATAAATACTGTAAGGGAGGCCCCTCTTGATGGAAGCACAGTTTCCTACCCTCATTGTATTCCATCCAGCTTTCATGTTTGTTGGGTCATTAGCACAGATTCCACCACTGAAACTTCTCTTTCTTCTCTCCACCATTTTCTTTCAGGTACTATCTCTATTAAATCTATCTGATAGAAAAACTGCCCGGTGAAATATAACTACAGGGCCATCCAGAGCCAGGGAATGGCTGACTTCCCCTGGAGTATTTGCTGGTAATTGAAGTAAGCAGTATTAACCACTCCCCAAACAAGCAGTAATTTTTTGTATATAAAAATTATATTATGTAAGCAAAACGTGTGTGTGAAAAGTCAAGGGCTCAATGATACTGGATGGGACAGGTTTCCCCCACTACCCATGAGTAGAGCTTCCTCTGAAACCTGTCATAAAGCGAAACGTCATGAAGAAGCAGTTACCAGTTTGTAAATGTGAAAATCCTCAAATTTCTTTGGGTGAGCGAAAACATGTTGTAAGGTTGGTTTTTCATAAAAGCCGAGTGGCACAAGGCAAACTTTTGGAAAGCGGGGAGACCTGTATTTGATCAAGGAACACCAAGTTTTGAATCCTTTGTTGACGCAGCTCTCTCATTTTCCCCGAAGACGTAACCCCAGGGAATAACAGACACGTGAAGTTGGAAAGAAGTACATTCTCCTGAGTTGGGCTTTAGCTCCAGACACCCCTGCAGAGCAGCAGGGACTGGGATGGACTCCTGGGAGGGCAGGCTTCCCTGAGGCTGGTGACCATGCCGGGCCTGGAGCAAGGCACACTGTGTGCTGTTGGGCTGGCCCCCTGCACACAGGTAGGTCTGGGAACTTGCGTCGCAATGGAACAAGAAACCGCTGCACCAGCCAGTGGACGGTAGAGAGCACATATGCTCATTTAACGGCCTGTGTCTTCATCTCTAAAGTCTGAGCGATCTTCCTTCTCAGGACAGAGCGAAGGGGTGGGATGGGGAGGAAAGGACTCCTAGAGCAGCATCTTCAACCAGTCTGCTCATTAGAGGACATTTAAAAGACACTAGCATCTGGGTCCTATCTCAGACTAACCAGAATCTCTGGGGGTGGGGCTTAGACATTTAAAGAAAAGCTTCTGTGGTGATTAAGGGGTGCAGCCAAGATTGGGAACCACTGTCCTAGACGCTAACAGTATTTGTTATAAAAAAGTGAAAAACTACAGTCAGACAAATACAGTGATTTCACTACCCCAAAATGATGACCATTGCCATTGTGGTCTTTGTATCTCTATCTATGTCTGTTTCTGTCTCTATGAGATATTTTCAAACAACGTGAAGAATTAATTGCTGCAACCTAGTAATTGGTACATGTAAAATATTTCTCTTATATAATTTGTTCTATTTCTGAGTGTGAGTCTTTCCCGAAGCTGTTCGCTAAAAATGGAAAAACACCTCTGTCTCGGTCCATGGGCTGCTATAATAAAAGAGCATAGACTAGGTGGCTTATAAACAACAAACATCTATTTCTCTGGAGGCAGGAAATCCGAGAGCACCAGCAGGGGCCGGTGAAGGGTTTCTTTCTGGTTCATACCTGGCGCCCTCTCGTTGTGACCTCACATGGTCTCTCTGGAGCGTCTTTCACATGGCACTAATCCCTTTCTCAGGGCTCTACCCTTCCAAGCACCCCTGAGAGGCTCCACCTACTAATCCCATCCCCTTTGGGGATCAGGATTGTAACATATGAATTTAGGGGGACACAAACATTCTGTCCCCAGCAACCTCTCAAATATGTTCCTTTCTATTTATTCAATTCTTTCCCTATCTTGCCCTTTTCCATACACACACACACACACACACACACACACACACACACACACGGTGCCTATTTATTTTTGAGAGACAGGGGAGGGGTGGAGAGAGAAAGGGAGACAAAGGATCTGACAGTGCAGAGCCCGATATGGGGCCTGAACTCATGAACTGCGAGATCGTGAACTGAGCTGCAGTTTGGTGCTCAACCGACTGAGCCACCCAAGCGCCTGTCTTGTCCTTTTCTTTAAACTGTGTCGCCTGGCAGGCAGCAGCTGGGGGTCTCAGTTCTTGGGTCTGCACAGGCCTACCCTGCCTTGACGCAATTTCAGGCCCTCACCTTACAGCCGCGTCATTGGTTCCCTCCAGGAAGGCAGCTGATCATTTTACTGCATCCAATACTTAACCATGAACCCTTTCCCCAGGCTGTAGTGTGGTTCAGAGTCTGCGCTGTGATCTCAGGAGGGAGGCGACTGTGGTGGCCCGAATTAAGCAAGGTGTCAGGCAAGAGGTGGCATTTGAGGCGGGCCTGAAATAACTTTTAGCGGTGGAGAGTACCCAAGAGTTAGGGAAGGCAGCTGTGAGTAGAAGGAATGTAGCAGGCGAGGACCGGAAGCGGGATTTCTGGATGCAAGGACAGACTGCTGCGAGAGGAGGTTCTGGTCTGGCCCAGACTTCCCAAAAGGCAACTGTGGGAGATGTGGCTACAGGGGACGATCACGGATAGGTCCCCGAAGCTTCTCCCTGAGAAGCAAAGGAGAGTCAGCATTTTATTTTGTGGACGCTGGGGAACCAATGAAGCATTCTCTCCGGGGTGTGACAATAAAACAGTGCTTTATGAACGTGAATTCGGTAGCCATGGGTAGAATGGTTTCAGGGAGAGGGGGTTACAAAGCTATTGCCTTAGCTCAGGCAATGAGATTGAGGGACTCGACTAGGGAAAAGGCAATGAGGGATGGACAGATGGGGGCGGATGTGACCAACATGCAAATGTGGTCCCTTCAGGATGAAGTCACAGGATGCCGCTGGCTTGTGGCAAAGAAGTGGAAGATGAAAATGCCGAATCCAAGCCTGGGCAACTGCAAGAATGGTGATCCCATGAACGGAGCCAGGAATGCAGGACGAGTGGGTCTGGAAGTGGAGACAACCGAGGGAGATGTTACAGATACTATGGATAGCACTGCACAAGTATTTTAGACAACAACAACTGCAAGGAAAAGCTCGGCACAGAGTTTTGAACTCTACACCCCCGGAAGAGAAGAAGGGTTCCAGTGTGGTAGGGTTGGGAGGAATGAATTAGAACAAAATGCCCATCTGGCTACATTTGGAAGGGAGGTTAGATTCGAAATCTTCTCAATCCATTTGGCTAGGCGGGTAAATTTCTTAGGAGATCTCTCAGGAGATTGTGTTTATAGCTCCTTACATAACCATCAAATATTAACTTTCTGGCAAGGAAATTCTATGCCAAATAAAGAGGATCCCTTGTGTTAATTATTACACCTAAGTAGAAATAAATGCCAAACAAGGTGGTTCTTAAAGTTTACTATTTTTTTTTTTTAAAGAGAGGGGGGAGGGACAGAGGGAGAGAGAGAGAGAAGGAAAGAGAGAATTTCAAGCAGGCTCTGTGCCCAGAGCAGAGCCTGATGTGGGGCTCGACCTCACGACTGTGACATCATGACCTGAGTTGAAATCGATAGTTGATGCTTAACCAACTGAGCCACCCAGGTGCCCCAGTTCTTAAAGTTTAAAAAGGACTACACTGGAGCAGCCTTTCTAGAGTCCTATTAATGTTTTATTGAGGAAATATCCCTATTTACTTCCAAGTAAGGCTTAATTCTCTCCGTCAGGGCAGTTTTTCTTGCGAAACAATTGATCTGTTCCCATGGTTCCCCACTTCCAGGTCTCCCAGAGGTCTTAATGACAACTCAACAAACCTGTTACGGAAAATATAGACGGTATTATTTTAAGTGGATTTTTTAAAGATAATTTGAAAAAAGTCATGGCAAAAATTGTACCAGTTTATTAGGTAATTTTAACATTAGGCTGTTTTGTAATCCTCTTTCTAGAGTATTCAGTTACGGTGTATGGGAATATGGATAGTTATATCCTGAACAACTGAACAGGGGCTTCAAATATTTTACAAAACAGCAGTC